AAAAAAAAAAAAACTGCTTCAAGCCCTCCCTGTTCAAAAAATGATAATGGACATACCATTCCCCATAAAGAGGAAAGACCCAGAAAAACAATTACAGCTTCCAGTTCCCCAGGGAACTCAGTCATTCAGAGGGCCTCTCTCTGCCAACCAGATCTTCCTGGCTGCCTGAAAATTGCAGTCCACCCCGGCTGTGCCTGATGATAGAGTATGCCCTTTGGAAAGATTCTCTTTCTTCTTGGAGTCAGGGGAAGAGGCTGTCTTTATTACAGCAAGAATTTGTCCATTTCAAGCTCTTCCTTGCCATGTGCTCTTAATATGTGTATCCAGCAGCCTTCAAGGATCAGCCGCATCCCATTCTGCACAAACAGCACATGCACCTAGGCAAGGGTCAGGTCTTCTTTCCCAAAGCAGCAACAAGAACACCTGAGCAGTTAATCCCAGTGGCACACACCTGTAATCCCAGCAGTTTGGGAGGCTGAGGCAGGAGAATCCTGAGTTTAAAGCCAGTCTCAGCAATGGAGAGGTGCTAAGCAACTCAGGGAGACCCTGTCTCTTAAAAAAAAAAAAAAAAAAAAAAAAAAAACAGGGCTAGGAATGTTGCCGAGTGGTTGAGTGTCCCTGAGTTGAACTCAACAAACAAACACAAAAATACCCAAGCATCCCATAAAACCCTCATAAACTTGGTTAGACAGTATCCCTGCAAAAACAAACTGTGAACACCTATCTCAATCAACTCCCATCACCATCTGTCCTCCCAGAAACCTGAAGAGGGCAATCAAGACTTGTGGGCAATTAGAAAGGCATAGTGGTACATCCCTGTAGTCCCAGCTACCTGGAAGGCAGGAGGATCATTTAAGCCCTGGAGTTCAAGGTCTGTTCAAGCAACATAAAAGATCTCCATACTGGTGGGGAGTGGGGAGTGCTTGGCAGCCACCCTCGGGTCAAGGTGGGCCACTGACACCCAGAGTCAACAGTTTTGCAATTGATTGTAGTGTTTCACAACTTTTAGCCTGGCACAATCATCTGCACCTGGGTGTATTAGACCCTGTCCCTTTCTCAAAGACAGACCCAGCAGCTCCAGTAGTTCCCAAGAATCAGGAAGTTGAGCAACTCCACTTTTTTTTTTTTTTTTAAAGAGAGAGTGAGAGAGGAGAGAGAGAGAGGGAGAGAGAATTTTTAATATTTATTTTTTAGTTCTCGGCGGACACAACATCTTTGTTGGTATGTGGTGCTGAGGATCGAACCCGGGCTGCACGCATGCCAGGCGAGCGCGCTACCGCTTGAGCCACATCCCCAGCCCAGCAACTCCACTTTTGAGGACATTTCAAAGGATTTTTTTTTTAATGTAGATGGACACAATACCTTTATTTATTTATCTTATGTGTTGCTGAGACTTGAACTGAGTGCCTTACATATGCTAGGCAAGCACTCCACCACTCAACCCCAGCCCTAATCCAAAGGATTTCACAGTTACCCATAATGGGGCCCAGGAAGACAACCCACAGTTGTTATGGGGCAGATGGCAGATGATGTCACTCTAATGGCCTTTTCCTAAATAAACAGACATGGACAGGACAGGACAAACACACTATGTAAAACTGCCTAGGGTGGTGAGTTCAAGGGGCCTGAGTAACTGTTCCCACATGTCCATATCCTCCCAGCATAGACTGTCCAGATCTGTGCTGTCCCATGCCCCAACTCCCAACAGACCCACAGTTGTCCCAACTCCCAACAGATCTGGACAGCAGAGACGTCCAGATCTGTGCTGTCCCATGCCCCAACTCCCAACAGACCCACAGTTGTCCCAACTCCCAACAGATCTGGACAGCAGAGACGTCCAGATCTGTGCTGTCCCATGCCCCAACTCCCAATAGGTACCAGGCTTGTCTGTGTGCCAGCCACCTCCCCACTTCTTGAGTCTTCATTCTACTGGTGCTTCCTTGCAGTACATTTGTGGAAAATGTTTATGCCTCTTTAAGGAAAGATGAGAGGGTGTATAGCTCACTAGTAGAGCCTTGCCTAGCAGACATGAGGGCCTGGCTTCAGTCCCCAGCATGGCAATAATTAAATAAATTAAAAGAAAGATCATCTGGGGATGCTAAAGATGAAAATACTGACCAGCTGACAAGTGATGAACTATCTGGCTATGAAGCACAAAGAGAGCCTCTCCACCTCTCTGCTGAGTGCCTACCTTCTGAATGCCTTCAGCTGTCATCTTAAAGGGGAAGAAACCATAAGAATAGAGCCAAGATGCTGTGCCTGCAAACAAAACTTGCACCTTTTCTGCACAGGTTGTTTCCAGTCAGGCTGCTGCTGTCTCTTGCAGTCAAAGGGTCCTTTAGGTTTGGATGCAGGCTTTCCCAGGAGTGCTGTTGCACTGGCTACCCTCTACTCTTTTTTTTTTTTTTAATATTTATTTTTTTTAGTTTTTGGCGGACACAACATCTTTGTTTATATATGGTGCTGAGATCGAACCCGGGCCGTACGCATGCCAGGCGAGCGCTCTATCGCTTGAGCCACATCCCCAGCTCATACCCTCTACTCTTACTAGCTCCTTCAAGGTCTGTCAGGCACAAGTACCTCCAAGGTCAAGGTGCCCTTGCAGACCGAGCAATCTATGGACATGAAGGCTGAGAGGGAAGGTTCAAAGGCCACCTTGGAGGGAGGGCAGCCACAAGCCCAGCCTTAAGGGCAGGACTGTGGAATTCAGCTCATTCTCCCACAGCTAAGCCTGTTTCTTCTTCTATAAAATGGGTAATTGTCCCAGGTCTCCAGTATGATGTTGGACAAGGAACAATAAGAGCTCCCGGAGCTCAGAATGGCAGCCCATGCTTTTCTCTGCCTCTTTTTGTTCTTCATAGCCGGATAGTTCATCACTTGTCAGCTGGTCAGTATTCTCATCTTTCTTTTATTATTTAATTATTGCCATGCTGGGGACTGAAGCCAGGCCCTCATATCTGCTAGGCAAAGCTCTACAACTGAGCTATATACTCTTTCATCTTTCCTTAAAGAGGAAAAGTTGGGTGGAGACTGCCTTTCAACAAATATACTTCAAGGAAGCACCAGTAGAATGAAGACTCAAAAATTCTTTAACAATACAAACTACTTGGGGCTGGGATTGTAGAGCACTCGCCTAGCACGGGTGGGACCCAGATTCGATCCTCAGCACCACATAAAAATAAAGGCATTGTGTTGTGTCCATCTACACCTAAAAAATAAATAAATAAATAAGTAAAAATACAAACTACTTGTATGACCTGGTTTATAGGCTCATTTTATAAAAATCATGAAAGATAACTAGGAAGTGACTTTGACTCATTTGCAAAGATCTGGAATCTTATGCCACATTCCATCCCCACCTCAGTTTGAAGAGCAGCAGATGCACCAGCTCTGCTCATTCATGTCTTCCTGATTCAGAAGTTCAAGGAGGGATGAGATGGTGCTTGAGCATGCAGCTACCAGAAGCAACAAGAAGAAAAGTCCAGGTCATGCACAGGTGACCTCAGGCAGTTGTCAGGAAGGGCCATAGTCAGCCTCCTTGAGAATGAACTCAAAGGGCTGCATGTTCCCCGTTTTCCATAGCAGGTCAACACATGGATGCAATGGGTCTTCAGCAGTACTAGCCATTTGAGAAGTACTTTATAATCCTGAACACAACCAATGACAGCCACCAGTACCCTAAGAATGACTGGCTCAGGCATGCCTTGTCCTGCCCTCATGCAGAGGGTATAGAGCCACAGCTGTGATGACAACCAGGACAGTGGCAGGGAAAAGGGTGACGTGTGAGCACTGAAAGACAGAAGTAGTCCCACTCTGCACACAGGTCCTCCAAGGAAACTGGGGAGAGCCTTGCCTAGAGCTTGCCGAACAGGGCTGGAAACTCCTAGCAAAAAATGGAGCAGGTATGAACCCTGCACTAGAGGGGCTGGTCCTGCAAGATAAAAAGGGACTGAGACAAGGGCCCAATAATCCCAGGGGAGAGCCAATGTAGGTTTATTTGTCTGTTTTGGTAATGGGGATTGAACCCTGGAATATTCTACCACTGAGCTATACCCCCAGCCAAGCTAACAGCACACCTGGCTCCATTATAGGTTCCTTTTTGGGATTCCCCTGCCTCAGCCTCCCAAGAAGCTAGGATGATGGGCATGCACATTCCACTATAGGTTCTTTTGTTTTTTTAATTTATTTTTTAAAAAGAGAGAGAGAGAGAGAGGGGGAGAGAGAGAGAGAGAGAGAGAGAGAGAGAGAGAGAGAGAGAG